TTTTTTGAGACAGGGTAGTTGAGACTGACCTGGAACCCACTATGTAGCCCAGGCTGGTCTCGAACTCACAGCGATCTTCCTGCCTCAGCCTCCTGAGTGCTGGGATTACAGGTGTGTGCCACCACGCCCGGCTTAAATTCTTCATTTCCTATCCATACTCCTTTCTTTTCTCTTGTCTAATTGCTTTAGCTAATGTTTCCACTATATTGAACATAAGTTTTGACCATGGGCATCCTTGTTTTGTTCCTACTATTAGAGGGAAACTTCTCAGTTTTTGACCATTTAGTATGATGTTGGCTATTGGCTTGCCATAAATGGCTTTTATCAGATTGAGATAAAGACCTCCTATTCTAATTTTCTGTAAGATTTTTATCATGAATGGGTGTTGGACTTTGTCAAATATTTTTTCTGCATCTATGATGATCATGTTGTTTTTGTCTTTGGTCTTTAATGTTGTGTATTATTTACTGAATTGTGTAGGTTAAACCATCCCTACATCCCTAGAATGAATCCTACTTGGTCGTGGTATATAATTTTCTTGAGGATTTACTTCATTCTGTTTCCCACTATCTTATTGATTAGATTTATATTCAATAAGAAGATTGGCCTGTAGTTCTTTTCTATTTGGGTCCTTTTCTAGTTTTGGAATCAAGGTAATGCTTGCTTCCAGATATTAGTCTGGGAGTTTTGCTTTCTTCTGAATATCACTGAAGAATTTGAGGAGTACTGGCATTAAATTTCTTATAGAATTCAGCAGTAAATCTGTCAGGATGTGCTTTGTTGATAGTTAATTTCATTGACTAATATTGGCAAATAAGAAATTTTATACCTTCTTGATTCAGCTTTGGTAATTTATATGTATCTAAGAATCTTGAGACCATACTCTTAAGTAAATTGGACACACATGTTTAAATACACATATTCCCTGGTGTGAAAAATCAAAAGTGGAAATAAGACTGAAATGTATAATGGATGTTGGTAAATGGGAAGAAACTGTTCAAATGAGAAGGGGAACAAGGGAGGAAGGAGGAAGGGACAAGAAAAAAGTGAACATAGAAGGAAAAATGGAAACAAAGCTTTTGTTCATAGGGGAGGGGGGTTGAAGGGGGATATGGGATAAAATTTATTTTAAAAAACAGAGTATAGGTTCTCAAGGTAGGTATCATTGATGATTCTCTGATTTCTCCAGGATCCCGATTTTGTCCTTTTCATATCTAATTACACAGATTTGAGTTTTTTCCTTTTTGATACAGTTGGCTAAGGGTTTATCTATTTTATTCAATCCTTCAAAGAACCCATTCTTTGATTCACTGATTCTTTATTCTGTTCTCTTAGTCTTAACTGCACTGATTTCTACTCAGATACTTATAATTTTCTCTCTCATATGCGCTTTGGGTTTAGCTTGCTTTTTGTGGAACTTTTTCAATTTCAGGTTGAGTGTGCTGTTCTGACATGGAAATGCAATGCTATAAATTACTCTCACAGGACTGCTTTCATTGCATCCCATGAGTTTTGCTGTCCTATTAGCATTATCATTTTATTGTATAAACTAATTTCTTCTTTAATTTCATCTGTGACCTACTGGTTGTTTGGAAGGGTGTTAATTTCCATGTGTTTATATACTTTTTGTGGTTTCTCGTGCCATTGCCCTGTGATCTGACAATATGCATGGCAAAATTTCAATTTCTTTGCATTTACTTAAACATGTCCAATGAACTAGTATGTGGTCTATTTTGGAGAGAGTCCTGTATGCTTCTGAAAAGAAGGTGTATTCTGTTGTGAGTTGGAATAGTCTATAGAAATTCACTAAGTCTATTTGTAAAGGTTTGGTTCAACTCTGGTATCTGCCAAATTTGATCTATTTATGATAGTGGGGTATTGAAGTCCCCTATTAACTGCATTACTGCTTATCTGATTTTTCACATCCATTAGTGTCTGTTTTATATAGTTGGATGTGCTGCTCTTCTGTGCATAAATGATCATCTCTTCCCTTAAGTATGTAGTGTTTTTTCACTCTTCTGATCAGTCTTGGCTTGAAATCCACTTTCAAATAGAATCTTTCATTTTTTCCTTTGATGATTAATAACCATAAACCCATCTTCTATATTTGATATTTAATCTTCACATTGGTTGATTCTGTTGCATATACTTTCAATAGAAAAGTTAATATCCTGGATGTCTGAATCTGTTTTCATGAAGTCCATTTCTTCCCTATTGTTGGACATGCATAATTTGCATCATTTTCTTACTTTCCTCTATTTTTAAACATCTGTTTCTACTCTAGATTCATTAAACATGCCCTTGATTATGGTTATCATTGCATTAGTAATCTGCATAATTATTTCTGACATGTTTTATTTTAGGGTGTTATTCACCCACTGTGTTACTTCTGGTGCTACTATTTCAGAAAGTTCAGCTGGGTGGCTTTTTATTTCCTCCACTTCAATGTCCCCTGGATTTTCCTTGGGTCAGCTGGAGGTCTGGGACTGCATTTTGCTTCCATGTCTCATTTTATAATTTTCAAATTTCTTTCCTGCTTTGATGCTTATAACCTGTTTATAGGAGGTAGGTTTTGTTACTTGTATTGAGACCTCCTTAGTAATGCCTATTTTCCAGAGATGTCTTCTGAGTATATTTGGCTTTTGGCTTTTGAATCTCTCTCTTCAATTTATCAGGGATAAGAAGTTGCTGACTATTTGGCATACCACTCAGTTCTTTGGTACTGGATTATGGTATTGTTTATAATCCCTAAACAATCTTGGTATCAAAAGAACAACTGATCACAACTATGTCACCTTAGCTAAAGTAGTATCAGCATCAAGCACAAGCTAGAAAATTCCAAATTGTGCTGTTAATTCACCTCCTTAAACCGTATGTAAAAGATTTATAGTTATATAACAAAATCTAGGGGGCCAGGGGTTTAGCTCAGTGGTACCATGCCCACTTTGAAAGTACAAGGTCCTGCGTTTGATCCCTGGTAGTGAAAAAAAATTTATTTAAAATAAATCAGAAAATTATATACAGTAAATATCCTCTCAACAAAGTGATGATATCCTCAGGGGAGAAAACTGAAAAGGGATGAGGCAAAAACTAGAGAAAAGAAGAGAAAGAGATTACAAACAAAGCTGAAGGATAAAGGAAAACTCCCCAACCTTGGAAAACTGGGGAAGAAGACAGGAGGGAAAGAAAGAAGGACAAAACCAAAACAAGAGCAATACAAAAAACCTAAAAATAATGTTCACACTCATGAAAAAACAAAAACATCAAGAAAAACAAACACAAGCAAAGGGAAAAGATTTCTTTGTGATTTCAAGCCTGTGATTATCTTCTAGGATCTACAGTTCTGTGGTAGTGTTTGATTCAGTGTATGTCTCCAACGTCACTGTTAGATAGCTATAAGAGGCAGAGTGAGCACAGATCTGTACTGAATGTTCCCAGCAAGCCTTCAGTAGGATCAGGGCAAGACTGTGCATAATTCCAACAAGCCTGCAGGAAGAACAGGGCAGATAGGAAGCCTACAGTAGGAATAGCTGAGGATGGTGCTTTCAATTCTATAAAACTTCAAGCTAATCCTGACCTCTGCTTGTGGGGCTGGAGCCTGAGTTGTTCAACCTGCAATGCCCTGGGTTGTTTCTTGCTGCCCTGACTTCAGCTCCCTTTCCCTGGATTTCTCTCTCTCAGTTATGCCTCAGAGTCTCTGGGAGCCCTGAGCAGAACCCAGCACACAACTCCAAGACCCAGGTTCATTTGGAACCTCCCTAAAATGGTGTATGGCCATACTCCCTCTGTAGAAGACATTTGGACTGGAGTTACTCACCAGCTGTTGTAGTTCATGGAATCAATCGCTCCATTCCCCTGCTGCATTTCTGTGTGGCGGCCTCTGGGGTCACCTGCCCTCAATGTATCTGTGTAGATTCAAGCTTCCTCTCATGCTGAAAGCTGGGAGTCAGGGTGGAAGTGCAGTTTGCCACCTCCCTTTTCTGTGTTGAGGTCTGTCTCTTCACTTTCTCTGTGGGCTCCAATGATTCCCCCTTCAGATTCTTCCTGGGTCTCTGGGATTCACCTCCTTCCGTTTTTTCCTCCCTAAGCTGTTGTAATACAGCGTGTGGATTCTGTATCAGAGGCTGGCTCACTGCTGCATACTGCACCATCATTTTCCCAGAAGTCCTATTTTCAAATTATTACAGAGTATCAATACCAAGCCTTATAAGGATAGCATAAAAAGGAAACATGATTGACCAATCTCACTTATGAATAATACTAGTAACTGGATTCGTTATACTTAAAAATATAATGTCACAAGTCCAGTCTATGCAAGGGTGGCTAAATGTCATAAAGTCCATTAACTCATGGATGTGTTTAGTTCACTATACTGACATACCTAGAGAGAAAAATAGACAAAAAATAAAATTCAACATATATGAAAGACAAAGTCATAAACAGACCCTCATATGGCCAGCTTTCCTGCTACCTTGCCTCATTCCAAGGCAAAAATCTATTTTACTTGTTAAATAGAGAGATCCCTGCCAAAGTCAGGAGTGACTTCTATTTCTATTATTTAGCATTGTTTTTTCCCCATTAAGTTTATTTAAAGCAAACGATACAGTTACATTTATCAATGGGATCTTATCATTGGGATATGTCTTGGTTCTTGTTTTTTCCCCATACCCCTGCCCTCCCTTCACCCTGCTTCACCCTTCCCTATTTACAAAAACTATGCTTTCATTTTTCCACATTTTTTCTTTTCCCTTATTTCCTTTCCCCTCCCCTTCCCACTTCTATTTTAGCCATTTTCTTCCTATTTCACACTCTCAAGTAAACCATTTGAACCTTATTTATACTTTTAGTTTTTCACACCAGAGAAACTATTTGGTATTTATTCAAGTGTGTCCTATTTATTTCACTGAAGAGTATAGCCTCAGTGTGCATCCACTTAGCTATAAATGTTTCTAGTTTCTCATTCTTTATGGCTGAGCAGTACTCCATTTTATAGAAAAACCACATCTTCTTTATCCAGTCTCCAGTTGATGAACATTTGGGTTGTTTCCAAGTTTGTGCCGCTATTAACATGGGTGCACATTTATCACATGGTATGATTCTTTTAATTATTTTGGAAAGATACCCAGCAAAGGGATAGCTGGGTCAAGCAGAACCTCTAATCCTACTTCTTTGAGGTTATCTCCATTATTGATTTCCATAGTCGTTGCACCAGTCTGCATTCCCACCAACAATGGAGGAGGATTCCTTTTTCCCCACAGCCCTGTCAGCATTTGTTATTGTTTGATTTCTTGATAGCAGCCATCCTTTCTGGGATAAGGTGGAATCCCAGTGTTGTTTTCATCTGCATCTCTCAAATGATCAGTGATGCTGAATATTTTTTCATAATTTATTTGCTGCTTTTACTTCTTTGACAAATGTCTGTTCATTTCAGATGCCCATTTTTGAATTCTATGTATTTGGAGGGTCTGATTTTTTTTGAGTTCTTTATATATTCTAGATAGTAGTCCTTTGTCTGTAGAGTAGCTGGTAAACATTTTCTCCCACATTGTATGTTGTCTCTTAGCTCTGTTGGTGATTTCTTTTGCACTGCAAAAACTTTTTAATAGAATGAGATACCAGCTGTTGATTCTTTGTGCAAGCTGTCGTGCTGCTGAGGATATGCTCATAAAGTCTTCTCTGTCAATGTCTTCAGAGTTCTACGTGATTTACTTTTCTTAGTGTTTCTGTTTTGATATTTAGATCTTTAATCCACTTTTTTTTTTTTTTTTTTACCTTAGTGCACTGGTGAAAGATAGGGATCTGGTTTTAATCTTTGGCAAGTTGAAAGCCAGTTTTCCCATACCATTTATTAAAGAGTCTCTAATCATGTCTTTCATTCTTACCATCTCTGTGGTTATTTGGGAATATTTGTTTTAAATTTTTCTAGAGCCTCATTTATCTGTTTTTTTACTTCCTGTGCTATCCATTCAGGTGACCAGATGGTTGACTCTCGCTCGGACTTTTCCTTAATCTTTGGCAAGTTGAAAGCCAGTTTTCCCATACCATTTATTAAAGAGTCTCTAATCATGTCTTTCATTCTTACCATCTCTGTGGTTATTTGGGAATATTTGTTTTAAATTTTTCTAGAGCCTCATTTATCTGTTTTTTTACTTCCTGTGCTATCCATTCAGGTGACCAGATGGTTGACTCTCGCTCGGACTTTTCCACCTCATTTCCCCAGTTTACCTTTGGTGAAGTGGAAGTCTTTGTGTCTTGTTTAAATGTCTTCTCATTTCTATTTTTGTCATTAGTACTGTCCTTGGTTTAATTCTTGGGTTAATACTTCAATCTTCCAGATATAACTGGTCTTTAAGTTTTGAGTCTCTAAAGACTCTGAGGCAATCTCATTTTCATTATACCAGGGAGGACAACTGACTGGATCAATCACAACACCCTGGCCCAAGTGATACAGTCAGCAACAGCATCAAGCACAGCTTAGAAAATGACAATTTGTGGTAGTTATTAATCTATCACCTTTAACCATGTGAATGAAATAAAAATCAAAGAGCAGCCCAAAATTTTGAATAACCTCTTCAATAAGGCAACATTACCCTTCAGGATGGGGATTTAGAAGGAGTTGGGGAGGGAGAGGTAGATAGATAGGATAGAGAAAGGTTAGAAGTGAGGTTAGAGGACACAGGAAAATCACACAAACTCTTAAGAGCTGTGGAAGAGGAGACAAAACGAAATATACACTTTACAAACTAACAGCAATAGGGAGGCTAGGGACTGTAATCATTTTCTTTTAAACCTAATGGCAATTGAGAGAAGGAAAAAGAAAAGGAAAAGAAAGAAAAGAAAATTGAATGAGGATAGGAACAGACGCAAAAAGGAAGAATAATGGGGAGCAAAGTGGGAGAGAGAGAAAAGAAAAAGATGATTTTTTAAAAGGAAATTTTTAAGAAAAAAATAGATAAAATTTTAAAAAAATGATTAAAGAGAAAGATACTGCTTTGAAAATGAAAAATACAAATAGAAATAGAGGGCCTCTTTGAGGGTATGCCTCTGTTCACACAATAGACAGCATGGGCAGGAGTCCACAGATCTAAGTTAATTAGTCTCAGCAGCTGTCCCTTGAGGTTCAGGTTGATTCCTGTCTGCAAGGTCCAGGCTGAAATCTTTGACCACCTGCTGGGCTTAACACTGAAGTTTCCCCTGAAGTTAGACCAAGTTCTGATGTGAGTTGCTGGTCCCTCTGACTTGCCAACTGTGGTGGTGTGGCATGCCTTTATCTCACATTTTCTTCACTTTCCAGTGGGCTTCAATTTTCATCTAGGCGCCTCAAAGAGGCCCTCATTCTCTAGTTCACGGGGGTTGAGGGGCACAAACAGTGCTGTGTTGGCACCTGTGCAGCTGGGGGTCACAAACTGCTGCTAGTCTCCTCTGGCGCACTGGGCCAAAGGGGCAAGCCTATCTTTTTAGCATTATTTTAAGGATATTTGCAAGGCAATGAGAAGAAAACAAGTATTAAAAAGTCTCTAAACCAGACTGTAGTGGTGCACACCTATAATCCCAACACTTTGAGAACCAGAGGAAGGGTAACGGTGAATTCAGACCCAGCCTGGGCAACTCAGTGATTTACTCTTTCTGAAAAAAAATTTTAAAAGGCTAAAAATGTAGCCCAGTGCAAAGACCCTGGGTCCAATCCTCAATCTTGCCGGGGGAAAAAAAGCCTCAAACTTTCCTCTTTTGAAGATCATATATAGGAAAGTCCCAATATATAAAGTTAGCGTACTGAAACCCAAAGCCTTTATGCAAGTGGTTTCTAGTGGAACAATAACTGAAGAAAGTATCTCATTCCCCAAAGCAGAACACAATAAACAACTTATTAACTTCAAGGATATAGGCCCCTCCCTGAAAACCTATAAAATACTCTTGAAAGATATAAAAGGTAAACTTGGACAGATGGAAATTCATACATGTTCTTGGATAGGAAAACTCAATATCATGAAGATGTCAGTGTTCCTTAATTTAGACATTTACTGTAATCATAAAATTTACCATGCTTTTCCCCTTTGGGGCTGCATGAGTTAATTACCAAATTCACACTGAAGAACATTCAAGCAAGACTATGAAAGAAAACTCTAAAAACAATAGCATTTTTCAAGGTTCTAAAACTGAAATATTATGGCACTGCTGCATGAACAAAACAATTTCTAAATTCATAAATGGGATAGTTTGCTATAACTCAAAATGCAAAAGTAGTAAGGGAAAAATACTGATACAAGTATCCTCCTAATAAACCAAAAAGAAAAAGAAACACACATTTCTAAAATAAAGGAAAAATGTTTGCAAGTAATATCACACACACACACACACACACACACACACACACACACACAGTAAGGCCAAAATCTTGAAGACCCTCAGTTTACTGCACAGTTTTGGAGAAAAAAAGTAGAAGCAAGTAAAAAAGTATACTAAAAACCAAAACAAATATTAAGGAAAAATGGAAATAAACCTCACTCTCTAACATGCAGGTAACATAACCACATAAGGAAATAAGGCACTAGAACTAATATTATAGTACTTTAAATGAATGTCCATGTCCATTGTGAGTTATGTTCTGTGGTTAAAAAGAAGTGCACAAAAAATCTTAAATGTTACTATTCATAATAGTAGCAACAGTACAGTTATTTTGAATTTTAATATATATATACATACTAGGATAAAGAATATATGTTAACCTATTGAGAGGTAAGATTTTCAGAATTATACTGAAAATAAAAAAGAGACAAGTTTTAAGTAATGGAAGGAAAAGAACACTCATGTGATTTTACATTTGTACAGTATGAATTCATGAAATTTTTGCCCTCCTTAAAAGCTTATCTCTATCTTTCTAAAAGCACAATAAATATTCCACTCACCCAGATTACCGTCTTTACATCCCATTTCTCATGAAAGGGATACCAAGTTCTCTAGAGAGGTAGATGAATCCAGATCTGGAACATCCTGTCACACTCAAAGCAGAAAAGCTGCCGAAGAGCTCTGGGGTTACACCACAGTGTCCAAAGCCAGTTTCACAGGGATCCTGCTGGTATGGACAGGACATTCAGAATATCAGCAAAAATGACTACAAAGGGCTGAAATCCTGAAATCCACAAATACATAACACACGAGTTTTAGTCACCACTAGAGGTTTCAGGGAACCAACTCATCATTCTGAAAACCAAAAAAAAAAAAAAAAAAAAAAAAAAAAAAAACAAGTATCATCATGCTTTTCCTATATAAACTGCAATTTAGAGTAAGCTGCAGTTCTATATTGTAGAACTTCAAATAATTAAATCTAGAAGACAGAATTCAAAAATTAACATTTTACAACCACTGATGAAATAACCAAGGCAATGATCAGTGGAGGCTGAAACCACTAAATAGCTTTAATTTTAAACCATGATTGCTACAGTGGGGACAGTTACAATGAGACATTCCCAGGCCTCAGGAATTCAGATGTGGGACAATCTGACATCACAAGCTCCATCCATGTGTCACACAAAGATGTTCACTTCTCTAACTACCAAGCCTTATGCCTCTATCTCATTACCTATCTACAGGAAAGACAAGACCAAGTTAAATTACACCCTGAACAATCAATCATGCAAAGCTAGGATCAGATGCAATGTAAAATCACATGAGTGTTCTTTTTCCTTCCATTACTTAAAACTTGTCCCTTTTTTTATTTCAGTATAATTCTGAAAATCCTACCACTCAATAGGTTAACATATATTCTCAAACAAATAAGCAATATATTTGTCACTTTCTTCAGTGAGACACAATACCTGTTACTTGCAATGTAAAGGAAGAGAGGTTAATTTAGCTCACATTTTGGTTAATAGCAGGTTCCAATTTAGGACAGCATGGCAGTAGGGAAGAGTGGAGGAAAAGCTGTTTACTTCATGGCATTCAGGAAGCTGATACTCAAGGGGGGAGCCAGGAGAGTTAGAACCTCTGTGTCTCACCCACGATTACTCCCTCTTCAACCAGCCCCAGCTCCCAACAGCAAGTATGTTACAGTACACCCCTAACCCCATCACCTTTCAAAGGTCCTGCTTATGATTCCATGAGTATTTAGGTGGGACAATCAACTGCCACCAAAAGCCAAACCATGATCCCTGTTTGCTGTTTTCTTTGCAGGTGCCTATTTTCATCCCCATCTTGGTGATTCTACTCTCTGTGTTCCTGGTTCTGGCCCCGATCATCAGTAAGCCTACCTGGGAGTACCTCTACTGTGTGTTGTTTATACTAAGTGGCCTTATATTTTACTTCCTTTTTGTCTACTCCAAGTTTGGATGGGCTCAGAAAATCTCAAGTAAGTATCACCAGAAGGCTGCATGACATTACAGAAAGGCAGACAGCCCAGCGAACCACCTTGCCTCTTATCCTGCACATACCCTCATCACAGGATCAGGCAGATGTCATCTTTTCAGGACATATGACCTTCTCCCTCACTGCAGAGCCTCTGGGTTCAACCCTGAACTTTTTCCTTTTGGGAGGGCGGGAGTCATGGGGTTGTCTTTCACTAAGTTGTTCAAGCTGACCCTGAATTCTTGATCCTCCTGCCTCAGCCTCCACAATGCTGGGATTACAGACAGGCATCACCACACCTGGCTTTCATTGCTGCTAATGACTAACAAGCAGGAAGGAAAAGCACTGTTTTTGTTTTATTTGTAAAGTACGCTTAACACAAATTTCCATCTAATCCACTGTTGAGTGGACAGCTCAGTAGTATGGAATATGTTCTCATCTCCAGAGCATTATTTTCTCCTGACAGCTGCAGAAACATCATCTAAGAGCCTCCCCAGGACATGCCAGAGTGGGCAAATTGACACTGGGTAATTGGAGAAAGGTCCTGAGCCTTCCTACGCTGAGGACACTGGTGTCACTCTTCATTCTGCAGCCCTGACCGACCCTCATCTATCTTAGGACAAACACAACTTTAGCTATTTGTGTATTTTTGCGTCTAAAAAGAAGCATTATGCTGAAGTCTGTGAGAGAGACTGAAACTACACCTATTTTTAAAGCTGATAACTGTACTATACTCACAATATTTTATCTCCCAAGTAGCTTGGTTTTGGGAAACCTTCAGAGCTCCTGAGCAGCCTCACCTGGGAGGCAATCAATGGCCCATTTTTTTCCTCTGCTCTGAGTGCCTTGAATTGGGGCAGTACACAATATCATCCTGGATCCAGCACTGTGCCCGGCACACTCCAGCTAATTGATATTTATTTACCTCTTCCTTGCTCCTGTCAGCCTATCTGGCCAGGAAAGAACTCTGCAGGCCTCCTATGAGGTTATTTATGTACTTGCAACTTCGAAAATGAAAATAACTATCCATCCATCCATAATTCACATAGAACTTAGAGAAGTATGAAAGAGCAAAACCCAACTAGAAGACAGGAAAATAGATGTGGGACTCAAGCACAGCCAAAGTGGGTGAGCTTGTCTGTCCTCAGAGCCTTTCCCCACCTGCTTCCCCAGCTGGGGAGTCAGGGACCATCACTTACCTGACAGCAATGCCAGAGGTGAGAGAGAGGATTCATTTTCTATAATTAGCAAAGTGAAAACAAAGCATAACATGAGTGTCATTTCCATCCAGGACTTTCTGCTTTTCTACTTAGTTCCTTCTACCCCCAGCCTCTTTGCTCTGCTCTTAACCTCAGCTGATAGGCTGCAGGCACACACCTATAGAAAAAAAAAGAAAATTAGTGAAATCCACCCCCACTCTCCACTTCAGAAATGTGCTTGGATTTGATCAGACTGACAGAGAGCCTAAGCAGGATGACTTGCAACCTAAATGGTACAAAATATGATTTGCTTCTTGCCACTCGCATATCTAACCAAGCTGTTCCCTCCAAAAACTGATAAGCAGTTGTGTCAAGTTAGTGAACATAAAAAACTATTTCAAACAAAAGCAGTCTCAGTGACTTCAGACTACTCGCCACTTGGTCAGTGGCAGTAAATACATCCACATATGAGTCACGCATACTTTTCCTATTGGGTAAATTGTTGAGGAGATAATAAAATATTGAGAAGGTTCCCAGTTCCTGAATAGGAAATAAGTGAATCCCAAAGAACACAGCTAGTAGGATAGTTCTGACTCACTTTAAATACCAGATGTCCCAAGTGCAAGGTGTAAGAGGAACATACTACTACGGGGTAAGAATATCACCAACAAGCACAGTGAAGCCTTTCAGCTACATTTTTCTAACTGTCATGATTTGCTGACTTGTGTTCCAGAGCCAGTTACTATGTACCTACAGATGCTGATGGAAGTCGTCCCACCAGAGAAAGACCTGGAGTAACAAGTGCATTTCTGTAGCTCAAAGCTATGATGAATTTATTTTTGTAAGCAGTATTTGTGGTTATTTTTCCTATGAAAAGTGTTCAGATGTTTATATAATATTTTTAGATAACCTTAATACTATGGGTGGTGTTCTAGACAGGAGGAGTGATAGGTGTGTGTTAGTTATTAAGAGAAGAGTCACCTAACAGAAGGCTGGTGGCAGGTTGCATAAAACTCACCATTCTGGAGAGAACTATTTAATAAGGATACAACACACTGAAACACAGAGCAGGACTGGGGGTTTTGCTCAGTGGCAGAGCATTTCCTTAGCATGTGCAAGGCACTGCATTCCATCACTAGCACTGGAAGTAAATAAGTTAAATTAAATTTAAAATAAAAAGATAAGAGTGATCTATAAAGGCTACTCCTATAAATCAGGTAATATTTTTGCCTTGATATTAGTGGCAAGTATTTAAAAATTTTTTTTTCAAAATACAGTTTACTCTGACCTCTCCCTACCTCAAAAGCCCTGATGCCTCTGTGTTTAACCTATGACGCATACGGCAAGTCTGTGCCAGGCTGCTTAACAAGGCCCTCACTGCCAAAATCCTCACCCCTCCAGAACCACTGGAAGCCTGTGTGACAAGGGTCAGCTTCATCATGGGTCACACAGCCTGCTCCCACCAGCCTTCACAGGCATTTTGGTCATAAGAAAGCACAGTGAATAAAATTTTACTTTGCATCTGGCATTCAGGGAATGAATATATTGTTTTAAAAAATGTAAACAGTAACATTTCTGAGAGAACACTGAAATTTTATTGATACACCACAAAAGTCACTCACATCACAATGGAGAATGGGACCAATTTTAGAAGCACAAACACTAAAGTACTTTCCTTTGCATTTCAGAAATTTACCCAGACATGCAACCCGTATGTTTTAATAGCAGTATAAAAAAACAATTGGTAAAGTCAGGCATGGTGGCACACGCCTGTAATCCCAGCACTCAGGAGGCTGAGGCAGGAGGATCGCTTTGAGTTCGAGATCAGCCTGGGCTACATAGTGAGTTCCAGGTCAGTCTCAACTACATAGTGAGACCCTGTCTCAAAAAACCCAAAACCAAAAAAAAAAAGGTGACTGTTTACTCAGCCTTCTACATCCTACAGCGTACTATCCAAAAATTGAAGTGTCTAAAAAAGAAGTTGAGATTGTAACCTATAGTACTCCTGCCACAGTATCTGTCAGTGGACCACAAGAGTCTGCACTGTGTCTTCTCCCAGGCAGGCAACACTGCTGCCTGCTCCAGGACATGCCATTGCTATTCCTAAGAGACTCAGCACAGCAAGCCGGTGCCCACAGGAAAGTCTCAGGGGGCCTGGCTACTTCTCTAGGCCTCCACTGCAGGATGAGTCCTGAGTGGAACCTTTCCAGCACAGATACCAGAACTCTCTGCTTCCTCATAAGATACCCGCCAATCAACCAATCAGTTACAGGGGAGCAAGGCCAGGTTCCTGGCATCTAGCCAGGCTGGGCCACATCCTTCGCCTGGAGGGCAGTGCTCTGATGCCTGTCAAAGAGTCCCTGCACAGATGCAGATGAGATCCCTGCCCAGCAGCACTCTGGGCATGGGTTGTGGAGAAGGGAGGCTGAGCATGAGCTCAGCATCTTATTTTACACATGAGGAAACAGAGGCAGAGCAGGACCCACCCCTGCTCATGGGAGCAGTGTGATGATGAGTTTAACTCAGTTCAAGTAATGGCTCACATGCGAGATTACAGGAGCCTGAGCATCCATGCTGCCATGTGCCCACCAGTCACAATCTGTCAGTGGTCTTTTCCACTTCTAGAAGAATTTGACAACCGATGTTGAGGAAATTCACAGAGGTTTCTTTTGGGGGTGAGATGCTGGGAGTTGAGCCCTGGAGCGCTCTACCACTGAGCATTATCACCAGCCCTTTTGGAGACAGGTCTTGCTAAGGTGCACAGGCTATCCTTGAACTTGTGATCCTCCTGCCTCAGCTGAGTGCATAAGGTTTTCAATTTCCCAACAGCTCACATTTCCAACTTTCTCAATCAACAAAGAAAGCCAAACATGCAAGGCTAACCCCGAGGCATTCCTACATTAAGTGGCAAGAACTATATACACTCTCTCAAGAATCTGGTGACAGGTGCTACAACCTTACCAAGGATGCTCACCTCCCCGCACAGGTGTTCTGAGGGTCACCTCCAGGCTCTGTACGATTCCCATTAAGCTGCCAAAAAGAGCCCTTAGTCCAGCAGTAGCAAAACTATGGCATACATGCTGCAGTGGGCTGTGTATATCACTGGAAGCTCTAGAAGGTTTTTCATCAGTGACTTAGTCCCTTTTTGAGTCCAGGGGTTTATCTGGAACCAGAAGCTTCACCTCTACAAAGCCTGGGTCTTGCTGGTCTCACTGAGGCCATCCCACTGTCCTTGGGAAAAGATGTGAGCTTCCTCCTTTCAGTAGCTCTCCATATTTTAAGAACTGTAAAAGCATTAGTACTGCACTCAGTGAGTGCAAATCTCAACTAACTTATGGTTGAAAGTATCTAACTTATGGCTGTAAGGCAGTTGCTGAGTATGAATTTGCAAGATGGAAGCCTCCATTTACATGCATAAGACCAACTTCTGAACAATACACCAAACACAAATGTAGGTCTAAGTGACAAAAGCATGAGGACAGACTTCAGGGAGTACAACCTGTCACTCAAGTGTCATGGTGTGCTCTCTGCCACTCAAACCTGAGCATGTCAGGATGGGTGTGAGTGGCACTGGGGAATACACACTGCAGCCTGGGCTTGGACCAGGCCTGTGTTTTTTGCTTCTCTCATTCCAGATCTAACTTCCACTCTCCTTTGACAATCATCATCATCATCATCATCATCATCATCAATCTTTATCACTGTATCTTCTAACATTTTTCTCAGAAATATTTCTAAGAATTTCTCAGCATTGTCCATCCAAGTGCCACAAGGCAACACGCAGTAGAACCTTATCTTTTAGCTGAAAAAAGGCTTGGCTATGACTGCTTGCCTTCCTAACTTCCAGTCACTTAGCAACTTCCATTTTTGCTCAGAGTCCTCTGGCTGCTCTTCAAGGTTTCAATGACACTTTCATTCGCTCTCACTTCCGTCACCATCTGAAGAGGTGTCACCGTCTTCAACCACCTTGGCCATTTTGCAGGACAGGTTTTTAGAACTTAAAACTAGAAGAGTTAGATATTATTTTAAAATATTAAGTATAGATTAGTAAATCTCCCCACCCCCTGTATTTTGCTCAATGCAGAAAATGTCTCTCGGATTCTAGCTCTACCTTGTAACTTACTTTATATTTTCAGTATTTTAGGCAAGAAATTGGCAAGTAGGGGTTGTGTGGTGGAGCATGCCTGTAATAGCAGCACTTGAGACTAAGGCAGGGGTAATGCCTTGAGTTTGAGGCCAGCCTGGGCTACACAGTGAGTTCAAAGCCAGACTGAACTACCAAACAAGCAAACAAAAAGAAACAAGCAGGTAAAATTTGTCTGCTTACAAATAAATTATTCCCTTAGAAGGACTATGTGTAAAAGTGTTATAAGAAGATGTAGATTGCTAAGTCCTCTTACCAGAACATTTAGTACCAAAATCAACCACAAAGAAGGAAATTTCTAACAGCTTTCCACAAACAGCCCATTTCCACAGATTCTGAATCCCTAAGATAAACTGACAGCCCTTCCCTCCCACCCTAGATTCAGGATCCTCCCTCCAGGGAGAGGGCCCTTCCCATCTCACCTTTTGAGAAGAGGCCTTCCTCTCTGTCCTCATCACCTTCTTCCCAGTGGTCAAAGTCAAAAGTCACATTAGGATTCTGTTCAATACAACAGTTTACATAAGTGAGCAGATATAACAGCCACATGTGAAGACCAGTGAACCACAGATCACAACGTACCTTCTGTCGGAGTAAGCCACGCCAGGATCCCCTTTTCTCTTTTGGGAGCGTAATAACAGGCTCGTCATTTGTAATTATGCACTTGCAGTCTTCTTTTATGACGTTGGCCTGCAGCTCCATATCAGCCAAGTAAAATTTGTCTCCCACCCATGCACTAGGTTTATAAACAGAAACAAAGTCAACTGCTAAATGTTGGAAATTATTTTACTTTATAATTAGATACACACAAACTTACCTGAAAATCACTCTATCGCTAAAGTATTTACATTTGTAATCCTTTATATTCGTTATTCTTATCTTAAGGATAACAGCATCATCTTTTTGGAACCACTTTATTTGTGGGTGGAAGCTAGAAAGGAAGAGAAAGGCTTGTTTATACATTACCAATGTTTAGTCCTAGTGGAGTAGCAGGTGCTCCAGCAATGGACAGACATACCTTTTCAGGGGTGGCTGCAATGTTCTATTAGCAGAAATATCTTCAGGGTTTTCAGATAAAGTTTCTGTAAAAAAATCAAATATTTTTACATAACATATAGATACAGATATGTACATATAAACTTTTTTACATTTTATCCAATTTTCAGATGAGAAATTACTCATGCAAAAATATAGATTTCATAATAAACCAAATACTCAATTGAAAAGAGAAAAAGTGCACATCATTCAGTTATATTAACATAACATTTTAAAATAAAAATGAGCTTTAACAAGTATTAAACAATCAGGGAAGTACAGTTACTCTTTGGAGAGGAACTACATTATGACTATCAATGGGATACAAATGCCCAGGCTTCTTTGTTCTGTCTCAACCTGTCAGGACAGTGCCAAAGACAACTTCTAGGATACAGACACCATGCTGCAGGAACAAATGCAGAACACTCATTTTCTAAGATAACACAACTGAATCCCTGCAATCTGAGATGTTAAAGGCTACCATCCAAAACCTTAACAACAATGTTCACAGCTACTCTGACTACAACAGTCCTAAGTGAAGGACTATATATTGCTAATACAACTTAGCAATTCAAAACCTATGGCTACTTGTAGTAATCCAGAAGAATTTCATAGCCACAATGTTGACTGGCCACAAGAGTATACTGCATGCTTCCAATTCAGGGAAACTTATGGTTACTGGACTCAGAAAGTGGTACCATGGAGGGTCCTGGAAACCCTCAACAGCATGTTCCAGGCATGACTAAGGGACAGGTGCACATGCACAGACCCTGATGAGCTACACACATCTCACTTTACCAGCTATACACTATGCTTCAAATAACAAAAATGGAAAACAGCTGCAAAAAAAAAAAAATGTCACTGAATTGTCTAAGCAGGAACAGAACAGCTAAGTGATGTCAGTCTGTGTCATCTCTGCATTTCATCTAAAGTAAAGGCTAAACGTAAGAAACTCTCCAAACACGAATGATTTAATTAACCATCTTGAAATAAGAAGTACCAACCGGATGTTGAGTTTTCTGACTTTGTCTCAGAGTCAGTCCCTCTTTCTGCACCACAGTTCTCTTGCTTCACTCCCTGGAGACAAGTGGTATCTTCTGCTGACACCATCGGAGATGAAGGAGATACCGTGGGAGGTGTCCTGGACAGAAGATGCAGTGATTAACTCTGGGACTTCCAGAGATGCTGCAGCAAATGAGGGGGATGGCAGGCAGTAATACTGAGGTGTTTGTGACCCTGAAGTTGATGACTGACTTACTGAGGGTGGGACAGGGCCAACCAGCTTTGCTCACTGCTGGGCTGTGCATCAAGCACTTGGTTAATAACAGACAGGGATTATAAAGGAAAAGAATTTGCTTATTTACTAAAGTAATTTTCTTTCCTAATTCACTGAACTTTTGAGCGCAGCAACACCGCTACTTCATCTCAAACAGGATAAAAAGGAAACGTGAAAAGGCATTTCCCTTCCTTGTCTGCTTGTCTCTCAGGCTGTCTTTGCTCAGAGACCATCCCATTACCATCAGGGTCAACTTCTAGAAATGTTGTTTGAAAAAGCAAATACTACTATTTATGTCTTTCTACCTATAACAGATAAGACACATGTTCTTAAACACACAGCAACCTACTAAATTAAATGTGCTGCTCTTCATTTCATAATATCTAGCTGGAGATTACTTCCTCTCGGTACACAAAATTCAGCTTAATTCTTTAAAAATTTTCTTACATTACATTATTCTTTTGCTTTGTGGACCACATAACCACCATAATCATGTTGAGTTTTTCTTTTGCAGTGCTAGGCAAAGAAGCCAGGGCTTTATGCATGGCAGGAAATACTCTACTCCAGGGCTGGGGATTTAGCTCAGTGGTTCGGCTGCCTGCCTTGCAAGTGCAAGGCCCAAAGTTCAATCCCAGGTACGAAATAAAAAGAGAAATACTCCACTCCTGAGTTATACTTGCACATCGGGTTTTTTTTTTTTTTTTTTTTTTTTTAATAAAGATGGGGTCTTGGTATGTTGCCCAGGCTGACCTTGAACTCACATTCTTCATGCCTCAGCGTCTGTGAGTGCTGAGATTGCAGGCGACCCAGCTAAATATCTTAAAAGTAAATAAAAATGTCTATATGATGAAATCTACCTTACATCCATTTCCCAGGAATCCAGTTCCCTTCTTTAAGGGTGGAAATATAATTGATTTTTTGTGCATCTTTTCCTTGGTGCTTCAAGCCTAAACAAGCAAACTTGTACAGACACAGGCACCACCACTCAATTTCAAGATCACAGTGCATCCTGAGGAGGGCGTGTTAGTTAATGCATCTCCCAGGGGACTTCTGACCTTTGTCTTTTAACCTGATCACAGCATTCCCCAAACAGCAGAGGACAGAGCACCCCACCCCCAGGCTGCCTCCTCCTCTTCTTCCACAGCTGACCTCCTTACTGGATGCTCCTCTGCCAGCTCTGCTCCTCCTGACTCAAAGTATCCTTGAAAGTGCCATCCCTAAACTGCTTCCTCCAAGCTCTGGTATGTGCACTGTTAAAAGAATATCTCATAAAAAAAAAGAGAGTATCTCATAAGTAGGAGGAAATTTAGACCAGAAGTGTACAGAAACCAGCTGGTATCCTAATTCCACAAATACCTAATAACACAGAAAACTAAAAAACTTCAGACTAAGCTGGGCACAGATGCGAGCTGAAGACAGGAGGATGGTAAGTCTGAGCACAGATTGGGCAATGTAGTAAGACTGTCTCACAACAAAAAAGAGCTTGGGGTATGGCTCAGTGTAAAGGCCCTGGTTTCAATCTCCAGTGAAACAAACAAAACAAGAACTTCAGACTACAAATCATTTTCATCTTTGCCAGGTTCTTCTAAATACCCTTATTTCCTGCTGCAATTTAAGCATCTTTCAGGGTCACCAACGGTAACATCACTAAACCCAGTGTTTTGCTGGGTCCTCATTTCATATGGCCAGTGGCAGCTGCTGACACAGCTCCTCTTGTGCCTCCCATCCAGAGCGGCCCTCTCTCAGGCTCCCTCACAGGCAGCTGGCTGTACCTTCTCAGGCTCTTGCTGCACAACAGCAGGTCCCACCTCTCAGCCCCACCACCTGCCTGCTCACTCTGTTGGAGCCCTGGCCAATCTCCTGTCTGCTACAGTGCCCCCATCTCTCACTACAAATCTGGCGGACCTGGAAAGCCCTGTGTTCCAGTCTCAGGTCACAACCCAGCACCAGCTGCTTCTCCCCATGCCATCTTGTCTGCCCTCTGGCCACAGTGTGTATCCCCAACCCCCACTCCAGTTATTCCCAGCACAGCAGCCACAAGCTGTCCTTTGACAATTATTCCTCTGTTCCAAACCCTGACAGCAACTTCCTTGTATCAGCCACAGGGTCCAGCAAGAGCTCACCCCACAGCCTCTCTGACCTACACGAGTCCTTTTCTCTCTCACTTGCTGCTCCAGGCTCAGTTCTTCCTCCTGATCCTACAATTCATTCCCAGGCCTCCCTCTGCCCACAGGAGGCTTCTCACAACCCATTATGGTCATGCCTCACCTCCACCTGTGCTCTATCCCTCGCCAGACCCAGCTCCCCATATTCCCTCCTGCTTTAACTATTTCATCTCATCTACAGCCATCTGACCCAGTGTACATATTCTACCCATGTGTTCATCTCTCCACTAAAACCTAGCCCCCTTTAAGGGAGGGCTGTTTGTCTGTTTCCCTACTGAGTTCTCAGGAGGGATTTATTAAATACTCATTGACCAAGTGAGTAATTCTTCTTAGTATTATTATTACTATTATTGTTGTACTGGGGTTGAACCCAGGGCCTTTCCACAGAGCTAAATCCCCAACCTTTTTTATTTTGGGGCAGAATCTTGCAGTGTCACTGAGTTGCCCCAGGCTGGCTTTCAATTTGGGGTCTTCCTGCCTCTGTCTCTCAGGGCGTTGGCATTACAGACATGTGCCACCATACTTAAGTGAATTGTAAAACTAAACTTCAGTTAATGGTATTCCAATTCCAAGTATTTACCAATTAATTTATCTGTTAGTTGGTCAAGTAGAACAAAGTTAGACTGAAAAAATGTCCCAGCATCTTGCTATGAAGATACACACAGAAAAATGATGGCTTGGGCAGCTCCAACCTCATGTCCCTCACAGAAATGTCAGAATACAACCAGAGCTGAGAAGCCTAATTGGAGACACTGTGTGAAAACAGCTGAAAGTGTGCTGTAATCAAGAAATGCCTAAGACAATGGTTTACAGCATTTAAAAATACACAGGACAATTCTGCTCCATGGACTGCCCTTGCCCTACCCCCTTAGCTTGGCCTCGTCCTCAGATGGAAGCAACCTGGTTTCTGTCCCTACTCACACCGGAGGGAGCAGAGTAGATTTCACTGGCAAGTTACTGTGTGCGTCTGGTCCCATCTGCCTAGGGGACACCTGGAGGACTGTGAAAGGTGCTCGTCTCTTTGTCCCAGGCAAGAAAAGTGGTGCACATGCTCCTAAAAGCTGCAAAGCACAACAGACCCACTGATGCCAAGCCCAATGATGACAGGAGGGCACACAAGACGGACCTCTGAGGCCTGGAGGAAAAGCTGGAGGTCAAAGCAGCTCCACAGTTCAGAGAACTCCGCAAATGCAGAGGTAAGAAGCGTGCTCAGAAGAGCCCCCAGAGCTTTCATCTTGGGCTGATCCCTAGGTGATCGTGTGGAGAAGCTGAAGTCACCACGCTAAACTATTGGGCAGCTGGTATGGACAATTCTGTGGTGGCTCGTCAAACGCAGAATCACCATGTGACCCGATTCTGCTTTGATCAAATAGCCAAAAGAAGTCAAAGCAGGGACTCCAGTAGGTGTATTTGTGTATACTTGTAAAAGCCGGTCCCTCCACATCCTCACCAACACTTGAGATTGCCCTTCTTATTTCCCCTTCCAGGTGGGGCTGTGGTGGTATTACTCAGCATGGCTTTAATATGTACTTCCCTGCTGATGAACGAGCTTGAGCACTGTTTCATACTGCAACTGAATACTGCAAAATGGCTGCTCAAGTCTTTTGCTCCTAGCAAAGTCTGTATTTTTCTTTCTGATTAGTTCTTCGTACAAATCCTTCCAGGACAAACATTCCATGCCATCACCCACTTTGGGATCACCAGTACACCCTCTCAGAAGGACTTCACAGTCTCTCATACATTCACACACTCAAATCTCATATACTGATACAGCTCATATTCCTGCTGAGGGGTGTGTAAACTGGGAAAACCACTTTGGAAAGCAGGTGGGGCAGGGCTCTAACAATGGTTTAGCGATTCCACTCCATGAGATGACCAAAAGATACATAGAAGAATACCTAATGCGTCATTACCCAAAGTAGCCCCAACCCAAGTTTCCCAAGTCAACAGCAGAATGGGTCAACAATTAGAGTACACACAGACAAAGGGACATTAGGCAGCTACATGCCTAGTGTGGATGAATTGTACAGGCAATGCTGAGTCACCAAAGCTAAACATGAGAGAGACACGCTGCAAATAAAGTACAAGGTACAAACCCCAGCTATGCTTTTCCATGGCAGGAGAATGGTTCTTTTTGGGAGGGTGATAGAGGTGGCTGAGTCATGTCACTTCTTGGTGTGGGGCTGGTTTTCCAAGTGTGCTCTTAAAATTAATCAAACTACACTTGGAATGCACACACTTTTCTGTATGTGTGCTATGTGTCAAAACTAGTTAACAGAAGTTCTTTCTGTAAGATATAGGGAAATTATATACTTGAGATTTGTTTAATAATAGTCTATCAAAAACTTCAGGGAGGGTTGGGGTACGGATAAAGTAAGATCCTGGTGATCAGCAGAGCTGAGTGATGGCGACAAGTACACACACTGCACCTCATACCTGGGAGTTGTATTTCCATAAAATAGGACCACTCTCCTGACAGGAGGCAGAAATGCACTTACGGGGTTTGGTTTAGGCCTTCTTCAGAAGTTGGCATTTTAGCTCCTTTGTATAGTTTTTTTAGTTCTTCTACATGTTCTGAATTATCAACGCCCATTCCCATGGACAAAATTTCAGCTCGCACATTATAATCAACAACAGAAGTTCTCAAATTTGAAAGTTTTGTAACATGTACCTTGAATCAAAGAAAAAACAATGTCTGCAGGAGTCACACCTTATTCCCAGTAATTTGCTCTACCACTTCACTACAGCCTCAGACCTTTTTGTTTTTTGAGGCAGAATCTCACTAGGTTACCTAGGGTATCCGTGATCTTTTGATCCTTCTGCTGCAGCCTCCTAAGTACTTGAGATCACAGAGGTGAATCACTATGCCTGGCCATTCTTTGATTTTTTAATTGAACCATGAATGCCCTCAAGTGTCTCTCTGTGATGCACTGTGGAATATGGCACAGTGCACAAGAGTTTTCCATTGTAGCATCTGCTTACGTCACCACTGAAGTTACAACAGAACCACCCAAAACCCAGTCCCAACTTGCAAAAATACAAGCAGGTGTGGGAATAAAAATCCTCAATCCAGACCTACCTATAATGCTACAACTTGAAAGAAAATTGTGATTTTGATTCTTACTCCATTACTTTTACTTCTATTAACAAGGGAGATCCTAAAGCTCAGAGTCCTCCTGTTCCTAGAAAGGGCTTGTGTCAAGATCCTAAATCCTGTGTTCTGGACGATTTACTCCAATTTTCTTTTCTGTAACCAAAACATTCTCATTCATTTTAATTTATATAATATTAAGTAAACCATGAAAATCTGCAAGAGTCTGACTTCTATGGAGGGGAAATATAGGAGTGTCCCTTTCATGGTGGGCAGGAGTGGGCTAGGCTAGCCTGATGGGCACCTTCCAGAGTGAACCCTGGGCATGAATCCCATCTGGAATGGACAGAAAAGCATGTCGCTCAAAGTGGACAGGGAGCTGGGCTTGGTATAGCAGAACTGCATAGGAAATTCTGAGTCACAGAAGCTAGACATAAAGAGACACACTGCATGCTTCCTTTCAAAACAAAGTACAAACTCCAGCTACAATTTTCCCTGACAGGCAAATGGCCCTGTTGTGTAGGAAGAAGTAGGGGTGGCTGGAGTCTGTTAACCTCCAAGGTGCCAGGAGGCACTGTTACATACTTTGTAGCCATGGAAACACATTTGAAAGGTGAGTTTTTTTTGTTCCATTCTCTGAGCTATAGTATTAAAAACTCCTGCCTAATTCAAATTTCCACTTTTCTTCTCCAATAAAGAGCAACTGTAATACTGATGTCTACATCAACTAAGACCCTTTTATCACTCTACTTATGCACACTGATAATCTGTATTTTTCTAAAAACCATTTTCTCCTCTTATTCTTTTTTTTTTCCGACAGGAGATTTTATTAGGGAAGGCAGGTTAGGGAGAGGAGAGAGGGAAGAGAGAGAAAAGAATAGAGACAGGAGAGAGGAGAGAGCCCTTCTTATTCTTTTTTTTGAGACACTGTCTCATTTTGTAGTGCAGGTTGGCCCTGAACTCACTATGTAGTCCAGACTGGCCATGAACTCTCAGTGATCTTCCTGTCTCAGCTTCCCAAGTGCTGGAATTACAGATTTGTGCCATCATGCCTTGCTTCCTCTTATTCTTAAATCTTAGACTGATACTGCCCTTATACAAATAACTTTCAGCAAAATAGTTCATTTAACTGAACTGAATTCCTTTATATCTTATAATTAAGATTCATCTAATACAGCAAAACCTTGCATTGAAAAGTAGAGTTCTAGTGGCACAAGTGGAAAAGGGACAGTGCCAGCATGGTACAGATAGAGGTCCCGAGCCCATATCCTATGTCATACTCTCCACCCCTACTGCTCCAGTAAAGGGGCCTCAGCTGCTCTGCTCACAGGTGCTCAATAAACATGTGATGAGTGAACGTGAACATATCACTATCTTTTAGTGCCCAAGGACTGGAATCCTCAGGATTACCCAGCATGTCCAAGGTCTTTAGGTTCATTTAAAACTAGAAAATACAGGCACTATTTAGCAGTCATTGGCCTAGGGCCTCTGTTTAGTATTATGGACAGTGGGCTGTGAAATCAACTTAATGATCATGATCGATGCTTGAAAAAAGTAGAACAGAATTATAAATATTAGAGAATGACAGAGGTAGCAAGGAAAGTTTCGCAAAACTTCAGTTGTGTATGTGTAAGAGCATGACATCACATACACAAATGCATATGTGTGCTTGGTTACAATATAAAACAATCCATCAAATAAACTAAACCCACAACAAAATTAATAACACAAATAATGTGAAAAACACCTCTCCGTAACAGAGTACCAAATAAGCAGTGAAACATATCAGAATAATCTGGATCATTTTAGTGGCCTGTTCAAAATAACTTCTTAGGAAACCTGCATACCTACCATTGGATCAATCCAAACTGTATTTCCCAAAGCCAACACCACCTTTGCATCATGCAATTTTCCAACAATTTTATGATGAATGTACCTAGTAACCTGAAAAAGCACTTGTTATTTTTTGAAACTTTAACAAAAAAATAAACCTTAATTCTGTATAATACTGTATACTTTGCAAAATATTCCTGCATTTCACCTGAGCTTCACAACAACCCTAAAGGTTAGGGAGGCATCCACCCCTTTCCTTGCTGTGGGTAACAGTGGAGTTTATTAACAAGGATAGGTGGAAAGGCACCACAGCTTGCTCAAGGTCTCCTGCTAGCAAGTTCCAAGGCCAGGTGAGGGTCTGAGCCTTGTGATCCCAAGAAGTGTTTCCATTGTGGACATGGTGCTCTCTTCTCCACCAACTATCAACCTATCTTTAGAGTATAAATGTTTATTTCCTTTAAAGCTCAGTGGAAGTGAAGGAGTGAAGGTTGTTCCTGCTGCTCCAGAGAACATCACTAGGTACTAGGGAGCCACTACAGCCAGAAACAGGGGAACCAAAGGGCCAAGTGCATTGCTGTTTCCTCTCATCTAGGGCCACAATAGTGAGACTGCCTGAACAATGTCTCATGAGCATTTAAACACCAATAAAGCAGAGCAGGAGGGAGCCAGCCATTTTCATGAGATTGTTTCCACCCTCCTTGAACTCTTGTAAGTGAATCTGGGAGAACATACACAGGACAACATGTCCCCATTTCTACAGAAGGCTACATTTCAAAGAACACTGCAGTCAGGCATCTTTACAGACCAAAAGTTTCTTTAGGACAAGGACTTCGACCTTCTAGCTGATAGTTACACACCCAGACCCAGCATGGGACCTGGCACACAATGGCCTCTCAGAAAAAACCTCACATGACAAAAGTAAAGACTATATTTTGAAAAAAGGGTATTTTTACTAAACCTACAACAGCAAGATTGTTTATCCTGGAGATAATCACTTGTTTATTTCCCGGGCAGTGCCTAAACTTATTTATAACACAAACTAATTTTACTTTGCTAATTGTAATGGTTTTATGTCCCATCAATCAGCATCCACAATATTTAACTTTCCCTTGGAGAAACAGGAGCATGATTATCAACAGGACTCACTGTTTCAGTGATGAGCAGGGTTGTCTGTCAGGTTCCCCCACCCACTCTGGTAGCACATGAGCCCACATGGGACGACTCTGTGGCCCATGTCCTGGCACAGGCAATGTCTCCACCATTAGTGCCTTATCTATCCCTGCTGGCTGGTGACATCCTAGTGATGCCACAGGAATGTGCCTTCCTTTGGAAGCTTTTTTAGCCTCCATCTTCCCTTCCTTGTCCACTCTTACCCCAACAGAACTCTTGGGCACTCCAGAAAGCAGCCACCACTTCTATCTCCACTTTGGGACCCGTTTTTGTAGGTGCTCACACTGTTTCTTCCCATAAGCTATCAGCCAGTTTATTTCACCATGACTCCTGTGTTATACCAGTACTAGGGTTCCATGCAAGGTGGCAGTCAGTACCATTCTGCACAAGCAGGGACCTAAGCAGACTGCACTCTAAAGCATAAAGCTAAGCCCAAATTCAATGCTCTAAATTCAAGCAAGCCCAAATTCTGTATAGGTTCTGGGTTAAATATACTCTACAAGTCAGCAAAACATAAAAAACCCAAGGAGACTCACCTTCGGATTCCATTCCATCTCATCATCAGCTGGTTTCACTCTGCAGACAATAAACTCCACAGCCTGTGGGGGAAGAGCACTGAAGTTCTCAGGGAGATGCAATAGTTGGTCTGTAGTGACCAGTCCAATCCTACCTTCATCTATGAATTTCACCAGGACACTGTCCAGGCCCCATGAATCTTCTTGTGGGCTCATCTCTAACAGTTGGACCCTGGAGAACAACTGTGGAATCAGCAATTCTAAAACAGGAAATCATCTTTGGCTCAACTTACTCATAAAACAGAAAATATACAAAAGACTCCCACACCGAATTGGTTTTACTCTCCATTTGGAATATAAAAAACTAGGGCCTTTAAGAGCTCTTAATGGCTGGTAAAAGTATACAGGAGGATAAAGCAGATAGTACTTCTGAAGTGAGTAACTCTGTAACTCTCTTTATCCCATTCTTTATCTTTATAAAAACATAGCAAAGTAAAGTTTCACAATTTCCAATTCAAGGCAGTAACCAGGAGCACTGGGTGTGGATTCAGAAAAGTAGGTGCAACAAGCACATGGGTCAGGCAGGGCACACTGACTGTGCCACCCACTGAGCTGAGCTTCAACAACTTATAGAACGTAACCCTCTCCACAACTCAGGCTGCTTATCAACACTGCCTGTTTTACAGGAATTTGGTTAAGAGTTAAATGGATCACAGAGGCATGTGTATGTTGCATAAAATGCCGACTCAATAAATGTCTGGGTTTGCTCTACTGTCATGCTCAGTGCTCAGGAGCCAGGGTGGTGTCCCATGCACCTTATACCAGAGGTCTGGGGTATATACTATGCCACACCACCCTCCCAGGAGGGGCCAGGAATAAGGTGCACACATTCAGTCAAGGGCCAAGAGCGAAAAGAGGTATGCAACACTACTGGAAATACCTCATGCCTCACAGCTTTAGAGATGAGACAGACAGACAGATATTTTACCTGTGAAAAGACGTTTTTTCTTCTAATCCATACAATACAAAATTTTCCACCTTCTCAACAGTTGTTTTATTACTAGAATCCTTAAAATACTCATTCATTTCAGCATTAAGAGTTGCATAAAGATCCACATGTTTATCAATTATGCGACCAAAATAATTTGTTGCATTTGAAATATAACAAGGTATTATCTGAAATACAAACAATAAAGATATCCAGAAAACAAACAACTTAAAACAAAGATGTACATACACTGTGTTTGCAGAAAATGCACCTAACCTAAGAATCCAAAGCATGACAACAGGGCTTTTAAAAATAAGTTAGGGAAGGATACTGGTGGTATACACTTATAATCCCAGCACTGTGGAAAGCTAAAGCAGGAGGACTGCCAAATTCAAATCTAGCTTGGACAATTTAGTGACTTAGCAAAACCTCCATCTCATAATAAAAAATAGAGTTGGGGATTCTTTTTACACCTGTATTTCCCAAATGATAAGCCTGTGTGTGCCAGGATAAGGGGCCTCAGCCTTGACAGTCCCCCTGTACAGCATTAGTATATAAAAAGGCATTACACACAGCAGAAAGGAGGCAGTGAAAGGAAGCCTGTGGACTGGATGTTCTTCACAGAAGGGTGGGGCAGCATTAGGCCTTCAGACTTAGTGACCTACTCATCCTGGTGTACAGGACACTTTCCTGGATTAAACACCAGAAGTCCTATGTGCTAGAAAAGCTCTACCTTAACTGTGTAAACTTAGAGTGTCTGTTTCAATCCCTCTCCCTTTGACCTTTGCAAATAAATAATTTAGCTTGTTATTACTGCAGAATATAAAAACCAAGTAAATTTCTAAAACAGTTAGAAAAGATAGCCTAGCCAGGCATGGTGGCACTCGCCTGTAATCCCAGCACTTGGGAGGCTGAGGCAGGAGGAGCACCATGAGTTTAGTCAAGGCCAGCCTGGGCTACATTGTAAGTTCAATGCCAGCCTGAACTATTCAGTGAGACCCTGCCTGAAAAAAAAAAAAAAAAGAAAGAAAAGGTAGCTTAAAATAGTATTAACAATAGCACCCCAAAATTTAAATTAACTTTAATATAGTAAATACGACACCTATTACTTAAAAGCGGTAACACAATGCTTACAGAAATTAAAGATGATTTAGAGCATTAATAGACTAGATGTCTTGATCTGATTAAAATGTTAATTCTCCCCAAATTAACCTACAGACTCAATGCAACATCAATCGAAAGTCCCAATAGGCTTACAAGTGTAAAATTTTATATGACTATGTAAAAAATAGAAAAATACTGAAGAAAGGCAAAAATGGAAAACTTACCTACCAGTTTGCAAGACTATACCACTACAGTAATCAAACCAGTATGGTATAAGGACAGAGAAACAAAGTCAAGAACTCAGAATCCACATAGGTAGTTTCCCAGTTTACATCACAGGAGCCAATGTGATTAAGGGCAAAGAGAAGGTCTTTATAGTAAATGATGCTGGAGCAACTGATTATCCATGAGACTAAGCCTTGTGCCCCAGCTTGCATCAAGCAAAAAGTAGTTATAGACCTAAATGCAAAATCATAAAGCTTATAGAAAAAAACATGAAAAAATCTGTGACCTCAGAGTAGGCAAAGTTTTCTTATAACATGAAAAGCACAAAAAATAAACTCCATCTCATAGAAATTAAGTTTTGCTCTGCCATTGAGAGAAAATATAGTTTATATACATATAATATATGCACATATATGACATAGAGCACCCAGAATATGTAAAAAAACTCTTTAAAATTTGACAAAGAAAATTAAAAACAAATTAAAAAATAGGCAAGAAACAGGTTGTGGTGGTACACACCTATAATCCCAACACTCTAGAAGACTGAAGCAACAATTCATAAATTTGAGCCCAGTCTGGGCAACTCAGCAATTTAGTGAAACCTTGTCTCAAAAATAAAAAAGAGCTGGGGATATAGCTCAGTGCAAAGGCCCTATGTTCCATCCCCAGTACTGCAGAAAAAAAATCTGAACAGAGATCTCATAAGAGATATAAAGAGCCCATAAATAATGTGGTAAAAAGAAAAGATGCTCAAGATCCTTAATTACTAGGGAATTGCAAATAAGATATCAGTGAAACAGGATGGCTGAAGTACTAATGAGAATATGGACTGACTAGATTTCCAAATGTTTTGCTAGTGAGAATGTAAAAATGGTACAAGCACTTTAGAAAACTGACAGTTTCTCATAAACATACACTTCTATGACCCAGCAATTCTACTCCTAGGTCTAATTCAAGAGAGATGAAAATGTATGTCCAAAAAGACTTATAACACAAATGCTTGAAGCAGACAGAAACTGACAACAACCCAAATCCTCACTAACCTGTAAACAAACTATGGTACTATATATTTGCATAATGAAATATTATTCAGTAATGAAAAGAACATATATGAATCTCAAAAGTATTATACCGAAGAACAGAAATCAGACTAAAAAACCACATACTGCATGATTCCATGAATATAAAATGCTAATGAAGGCAAAACTATCATGAAACAAAGCAGATCGGGATTACGAGGGATGGTGGTGTGGAGCAAGGGACACTGTCGAGGGGCCTTTATGGGGCGATGGAAATGCTTGTATCATGACAGTGGTAGTGATTAAATGGCTATACACATTTATCAAAACCTGGCAAACTATACAAATGAAATTAGCCATGTTTACTGTATGTAAACTATTCCTCAATATAGCTGATTAAAAAACAAGAGATTTCAGAGATTTGGTAGCAGGGCAGGGGGAGGGGGTGGTCTTGGTAAGGTGGCAACAGTGAATACCAGTTACTTTTTGTCTGAATGCCAACATGAAGAGAAACAGCAACAGACAGTAAAAGCAGAACTCAGGCATATAACTTACAACAGTAATTGACAAAATATCCCCATGTAGCCTAAAAGAACAGCAGATGAGGGAGATAACACAGGAATAAATCTAAGTGAACTTGGGTTTGGCAATGACTTCTTTCTATTACTGAGATACATCCCTATTCTTTTTGTCCTCCTGCCTCAGCTTCCAAGTAGCTGGGATTATAAGTATATGCTACTACACCCAGATGTTGATGTTTTAAGATATAATGCCCAAAGTAAAATCCATAATATAAAAAATACAAGTAACCTATCTTCATTAAAATTTAAAAACCTCACACTCTACAAAAAATACCATAAAGCAAATGAAAAAGACAAGCCAAAAATGGGAAGAAAAGTGTTGCAGAACATGTAGCATTTGACCAAGAACTTTTATCCAAAACATAGAACTTTTCAAACAGTAAGAAAGCTAGGGGTGTAGCGCAGTGGTAAGGCACTTGCCTGGAATGCCTAAGGCTCTGAGTTCAAACCTAGCACCACAGAAATAAAACAAAACAATAAGAAAACCAATTAAAAAATTTTCAATGGAGGGCCAGAGATTTAGCTCAGTGGTTCCACTTCCTGCCTTGCAAGCAAAAGGTCCCAAGTTTGAAAAAAATTTTTTTTCAATACGGAATACATACAGATGGCATATAAGTATATAAAAGATGCTCAACAGCACATGAAGTGCTATGAAAATATATAGTGAATGTTTAAATTTTTAAAATTTATTACAGTGAGGGCTGGGGATCAAACTCAGTGGTGCCCTGCCTGCCTCAACAAGCACAAGGTTCTGAGTTTGATCTCCAGTACCACAAAAAAATTATTACAGTGTAAGATACATTACCATTAATCCCCATTAAAATATTCCCCTTGCTTCAGACACACTTATCCTACCATTCTTGCCACTTTCTGAAGGAGTGTGGAAGTCCTCTAGCATGTCTTTATGAGATTTCAAAAATATGTTGAATGCTGCTTTTATCCAACAAAAAGGCAAAGTCATAAAAATATTATGGTGCATCCTCATTCACCTCATCCACTGGCTCTGGCACAGTGGGATGTCTGGCTCTTCCTCAAAGTTAAAGAAACCATGAAAGGTAAATGTTATGAACAGACTCAGGACATCAAAGCTGCCACTAAAGTTAATCATGAAAGAGGATTTTTAAAAATGCTTCAGAAAGTGACAAGAACAGGGTAAGTGTGCTCAAAGTGAAGGTGAATACTGTGAGGGTGACTAATGGCAATGTGTCTTTTACTGTAATAAATTTAGAAAATTTAAACATTCACATTTTTAGTCATATTATGCATGTCATTAGGAAAATTTAACAAGACATATACCACTATATAGCCAAAGAACTACTAAAATCCAAAACCCGACGGTGTCAAATATTGACAAGAAGGTGGAGTGACGAGAACTCTCTTTTATTGTTGGGGGGAATGCAAAAAAAAAAAAAAAAAAAAGGTACAGTCACCTTGGAAGACAACCTAGAAGTCTGTCACAAAACTAAATATATTTTTACCATTTGAACCAGCCATCACAGTCCTCTGCATTTACCCAAAGCAGATAAGCATTTATGATCACACAAAAATCTGCACGTGAATATTCATAGCAGCTTTATTCATAACTGTCAAAACTTGGGATCAACTACAAAGCCCTCCAAAATGAATGGATAAACTAACTCATCCTGACAGTGGGCTATTATGTATATATCAAGCCATGAAAAGACATGGAAAATTTAAATGCGTATCACTAAAGGAAAACAACCTGAAAAGGATACATTCTGTATGGCTCTAATTGTGTATTTTGAAAAACAAAAAGAGAAAAGAGCAGCGGTTGCCAAAAGTTTGGGGTAATGGGGAGGGATGAACAGGTGTAGCATGGAGGATGTTTAAGGCAGTGGAAGTACTCTGATACTATTTTGGTGGATACAAACTTTATAGATTTTCAAAATCCACCTGACTATACAACTCCAAGAGAGAACCTCAATGTACACTAAGGACTCTGGTTAATAATAACATATCGATATCTGTTCTTCAACTGTCACAAAAGTACCACACCAAGGCAAGATGTCAGTAATAGGAAAAACAGGAGAGAGGTAGTTAGGTGGTTTATGGGAACTGTCTGTATTTTCTATAAATCTAAAACTGCTCTAAAAATCAAAATCTATTAATAAAAAAAAGACAAAATGAGCAAACCCCGCTTCATGAGCACAAGAGCTACGTAGAGGTGGCTGGCTCAGGGCTCAGTGCAGAACAGCAGAGGGAAGCAGTGGAGCAACCGTGGCCCAAAGCAGAGCCCATGGGTGGTCAACAAAACATACAGGCCTGCAGGATGAGGCAGCCCCACACCAGCTCTCACAAAGGGGGCCTCCCGCTGCCAAAACACCTCAGACTTCCCTCCAGCAACAAGAACAATGGAGGAAGGAAAGGAATGGGTAGAAGGGAAGTGAGCCACAAGATATCGCATGATCTGTCATGCTGTTTTGTTTTGTTTTCACAGAACACAAAAACAACAGAAAGGAGAACTCTCTGAAATGAGAAAAGTTACCCTTCTCAAATTGAAGGGCGATAAATTTTATCTAAAAAGAGCAATAGTAAAGTACCAATGTCAAATCCCACATTAAAATATATAAAAATAAAATAAAGAATAAAAAGTCTCTAGAGATAATGGAAACCTAGTTAGTTGGGAGGCTAAAGCAGAAGGATCACAAATTTGAAGCTAGCCTAAGCAACTAGTTGAGATTCTGTGTCAAGATTTAAATAAATAAGCACATAAATAAATAAAGGGCTGGGAATGTAGCTAAGTGGTAGAGCTCCCCTGGGTTCAAAATAAAATGAAAGATTTATTACAAAACACATCAAAATTGTACGCTTTAATTTAAAACAGTGTGTTTTAGCTTTTTAAATGATTCTTGACATTTAAAAATAACATAGGGCCGGGGATTTAGCTCAGCGGTTCGGTGGCCTGCCTTGCAAACGCAAGGACCTGAGTTCAATCCCCAGTACCAAAAAATAAATAAATAAATAAAAATAAAAATAACATAAATCATGGCTGGCATGTAGCTCAGTGGTACAGCATAGTGTGTTTAACACACACAAGGCCCTGAGGTCAATCCCTAGCATTCCCATTCCCTCAGAAAAAAAATTAAATAAGAATTAGAAAAACTTAGAAATGAGGTGGTAAAACTCAAAAACAAATTAGAAATTAAAGTAAAAACATTTCAACAAAAAACTAGTAGATTAAAACAGTGCCCTTCCCCAAAATACACATGCATATCCTAATTCCCAAGGTCACTGAGACCTTACTTAAAAAAGAGTCCTGCCAGGTATGGTGGCAGGAGGCCCACACAGGCCTCCAATCTGCAGTGATCCTCCTGCCTCTACCTTCCTGGTGCTGGGACTACAGTTGTACACCACCATACCCAACACTGCATTTTTTTTTAACAGCCTCCAAACAATTTTTTCTAAAAATATAACTTTTTAAAATCTCTATAAATTGTCATCAATTTACCCAATTCAATTTAGATCTTATAAAAACTGGAGCTCTGAAATAAGGCACATTATATGGACCCATTTTTGTTACTGGGTTAATGGTAGGGTTGATGGTAGTATATCTGACCACAAATTGTTCCAAGATCCTCTGCTTAAAGAAATATATTTATTAAAATGACCATTAAGCACTGAAAAAAAGCATCTTAACAGAACTTACTTTAATGTATCCAAACATGGGTAAAGCTTGGTTGGATAATTTCCTTGGCATGTCCATTTCTGGATTAATATGGTGTCGGTCAGGACAGATCCTTTTGTCTCTAAAAAAAAGACTAGGTTTGTTGTTGTGATGGTGGTAGTTGTGTGTAGCCTCAAACATGCAAGGCAAGAGCTCTACCACTGAGCTACATGCCTAGCCCCCTAAAATGACTAAATTTCAAAGCCAGGAAAAAATAATAGTTAACATGAATTTTGAAACATCTTCAAAAATTAATCTGCAACTGAAATTAGAGAACTTTTATTCCAAACATCTTAAATAAACACATTAAATACTTCAGGTGACATTAGCAATACATAAATATACACATAAGTGGAAAAGAGTTACGTGAATTAACAAGCTATAATTCAAAAAAATTCAGTAACATATTATCATTATAATACAAAATACAGGCCAATTAACTGATGAACTAGATACCACTCCTTAAATGTTACCTCCAAACTGAGAAACAGTTAAAGTTCCAATTTAAAAAGTTCGTATTAAAAAGAAATTTTGAATTTTACATATATACAGTGATACCTCAGTTCATGAACTCAATTCTCTCCACAATTTTGGTCACAAACCAAACTGGACAAGAACCAAATCAAATTTCCCTGTAAGAACAACATTGAACCTAACCATTCCATTTGATTTGGTTCCAACTCAGTTTCTGACCAGAATCGTGGAAAGAATCAAGTTTGTGAATGAGGTACTTCTTTTATTTTCCTATTTACTGACTTATTTAGACAGGGCTTTGCTATGGAGCCCTGGCTGGCCTTAAACTTGATATGCAGCCCAGGTCTGCTTGAACTCACAATCTACCTGCTTTGGTTTGTCAAGTGCTAGGATTACAGGCCATGTACCACTATGTCTGGCCACAATATTCTATTTTAAAACATGTGAAATACCAGTTAATAAAGTATTTAATGGATCATAATGCAAAATAATTAACATCAATAGTTATCTTAAATTCAGATGTTACCAGACACCTACACACCAGCTGTCCATTTACCAAGCAGTGGCATCATGTCTAGAGAGCCCTCATGACTATTTAGGTATCCCTGCCATCCAAAATGATCTACAGCAATCAATGCAGTCTCTATCAAAATTCCAGTAGGATATTTGGAGAAATGAACAGGTTTATTCTATAATGTATATGGAAATATGAAAGATTTTAAATAACCAAAACAACCTCAGAGACAAAGTTGGAGGGTTTATGTGTCAGATGCCACGACTCATTATAAAGCCACAATGATTAAAGCGAAACAAATGGACCAATGTAGCAAAACAGATTCCCAAAACAGACCACATATCCCACCCACCTGGTTGATGGGATAGATGATGATCTATATGCAAAAAGGCAAGACCTCAGATTATATATGCAAACTAAAGCAATATAGATTAGTAGGTGCACAAAGTTTCAGATTTCAGAGCATTTCAGATTTTAGGATTATGAATGATTGTCAACAGGAGGGTAGCTGCATATATTGTGATATAGTCATACAATGGGTTACAGCCACAAAATAAAACAGATACAAACAATATAGATGAATTTCAGAGATATTATGTTGAAAGAAGACAGAAACATGAGTATACTTATAACTTCACATATATGAAGTTAAAAAATGAGCAGAATTCTAAAATATGAAATAAGCTTGGGTGCTCATTAACAAATAAATGGGTAAAGAAAATGTGGCCTACATATACAATGGAGTATTATTCAGCCATAAACAAAAAATAAAATCCTATTATCTGCATCAAAATGGATGGATCTGGAAGACATTACATTTGATGAGATCGGGCATGTTCAGGGTGGTATGGTCATAGACATGGAAGATGTTATGTTTTGTGAAATAAGACCAGTGCAGGGCCAGGGATTTAGCTCAGTGGTTCTGGTGCCTGCCTCTCAAGAGCAAGGTCTTGAGTTCAAGCCCTGGTTTTAAAAAAAAAGAAAAAAGACCAGTGTACCAATGTTTCATGTTCACTTTCATATATGAAGCTACAAAAAGTGAAATTGAGAGTACATTAGTGATTACTAGAGAGAGAAAGACATAAGAGTTGCAGGGGTTGGGTAGGAAAAAAAAGGAGGGCTGGATTTTACTCAATATGCACATAGGTAAATACCACACCAAAACCTGTTTACATATACAATGAAGATGTGTTAATAAAAATTGGGTGGGGGCAGTAAAATTTATCCAATTTGAGAGTGATAGAGGGTTACTTTTGGAGAGGGCACATCAGGAAGAGTGTGCAGGAATCTCTGTGTTCCCAGAGAGCTGGGTGGTGGTTTACACAGATGAACAGATGTGATGCTTCATCAAGCTGTGAACATATCATCTGTGTGCTTTACTGTATGCTAAACTTCCATTTAAAAAGAACTCAGGTTTACCTGCAAAATCCAAAAGCCTTAAGATACTGACACAAAGGTCGTTTGGCCTTCTTATCTTCTTTGGCTTCCAACACTCCTGCAGTAAACTCATACAGCTGTAATGGGATTTTGGCACCTGCTCGCTCTAAGTAGCGCAGGACACCAACTGCCTGGCTCGCATTTTTCTCCGTCAGCAACAAGACAGACTTGGGTTTTTTATTTTCCTGCTCTGCAAGAGAACCCTTAAAATTGGGGTAAACAAAGGAAATGATCATCTATACCAGTCTCAATGAAACTTTATGGGCTCTGAATTTGTTATTACACAGAAAATGATAGTGAAACACTGAAGGTAACAAAAATTGATCAAACCTGCTCAGTTAAACTCTCAAAGTGATCAGACATGCAATACAGGCGTCCACCAAAAAATTTTGGCGAAGAAGGGAAGCTGAAGTGAATCACACACGTGGCATCAGTGATGGCCAGGAGTGGTATGCAGTCATCAGTTAAGGCTGGAGAAAAGGATTCCAGTAAGTTTTCATGAGTGGGACCTCTTCACACTCACTTTAATGAGCAGCCCCAAAATCATGCTGTACTGCATCTCTGTTTTGTATTTTACTCTTGTGGTGGAGAAGGAAGCAAGGGCCTCAAGCATATTAGGCAAGTGCTGTGCCATTAATATCTCTAGCCCCACATTTTACCTTTTATATGGAAAGAAACTTTCGCATTTTTTTCCCAAAAAATGCCACAGCCCACTGCTTAAATTCCAGAGAAAAATGGCCACCCTTTTGGGCTGAAAAATGTTTTTTTTTCCTATGACAAATCCAGGCCACCTATATATTTTCACTTATTTTCTACATTTTGGCTTTATATTTCTAATATTATGACCATGATTCATTGTAGGCACTGGTGCATAGATACGTGGGCTATCTGCATACAGACTAGAACCCCAGGGAAAACACTAGACTACCAGTTGCTGCCCATGGCCCTGAGAGCCCTGGGAGCATCTAGACTCATCTCAACTGGAAATTAATTCTCATTATAAAATTATTATCACTACTACATTCTGAAAAATACTGAGAAATCTGAAGAAACATAAATGACATAGTTCCTACTAGCCCAGCCTTATCCAAATAGAAGCAGAAATTAAAACTTACCTAGTACAATGTGAGAGCCAGAAGTTAGCTTCTTCCACTGTTCTAAAACATTTTTTAAGTCAAAAACCATCTCTTTATGCATTTTCAAGCAAAATATTGAATTGCTTTCTACTACCTAAAGATAAAACTAAAAGTAAGTTCACAGTAGGGAACACAAGCTTGAAGCTCTATTCCATGAGTAATTATTAATGTAAATGACTTTAAATTATCTGGAAAGGCATTACCTCATGGACCCAGTAATTCTTGAGAATGAAATGACTATACACTTAAATATTTTCAGTTTTGTAATCTTCCTGTTTCCCTACTTTTTAAAATACAAAAGTGTGTGTGTGTGTATGTGTATACATACTGTAAGCCAAGTATACATTAAATATATGGTACTATTGTCAACGAGGACTATTTCTATCATCTTTTCAGGTCCTTCTTGAAGGAAAAAAGATGTATTGCTGATTATTTTATTTTGTATTTGGCTTTGTTTCTACATTTTAGCATTAATACATACAAAATGAGAGTAAAATAGAGTTAAGTTTTTAGCCAATTTCTTTTGCTATTCTGGTTCAGCACAGTATCTTACAGTCATCTTGGCTAGAGTGAAGAAGATGTGGGCGCTTCTGCCCTTGGATACTGTCATGTTCCACAGTGACAAGGCCACCCACCCATCACTGCTCTCAGGGGACCCTGCCTCTTGGGAAAATTTGGGCCCCTGTGTGATTCCTCCCCAGGGGCCAGGTCTTCTGCTCTCAGCACTTCTGGAAAAGGCTGCCTCCTCTTTGAGCTGATGTGACTTGGGAAATTGTATATCTGCCACATATTCATTCTAGCAGTTTTCTGATCTCTAAAGACTCAACCATAGTTTAATCTAACAGTGAAAACGTTTTATGCGTGGATGGTCTCACCTTAGACACTATTTCTGTTTCAGCTACAGAGGAGGTGAAGATCAAGGTCTTTTGTGCCTGGCTGGGGATGACATCAAGAACCTGTAGTAAAGTAGAGGTTTTTTCACATTCTAGGCAAAGATGCACCACCTGGTAATGAAATACACAAGGCAAGATATGCTCAGATTCACTTTTCATAACTAAGCTATAGAAATACAGGTAACTGGCTTGTGCTCATCAGCTGCCCCCCACAAATCACCTGCTGGATGTTCCCGTAGAGGGCAGCTTCCTCTGGGGCTGTGATCACAACATAGGGATCACTCATGAACTCTCTCATCAGGTGTTCTATGTGTCTGCTCCAGTGAATGCCAACTGCAATGATCTGGCGTGGTGCACACTCCCTTTCTTCCATTTTAACATTTTTTTTAAAGTTATCTAATATAGCAAACATCTAAAACAATGACATAAATTTCATATATATTTAAAAAGAGTAAGAATTGGTTTGACAACATAAAATGTAAAGGATTGCATATTTTGTTTTCAGAGCAGGGAAAGTCTGAAAATAAAAGGAAAGGGAAACTAAAAGAAAATGCTTAAAGTCAATAAATATAAAATTCCACTAAAAAAGGATTAAGGCAAAAATAACATCTTGGTAAATATGTGTAACACATCTAACAAGAGATTGAAGTACTCACATTTAAAACTTCAAAAACTGATTTTAAAAAAACAACTCCATGGCTGGGGATTTAGCTCAGAAGTGCCACCACTTGCCTCAAAAGCACAAAGTCCTAACTGCCATCACCGGCATAGAAAAACAAAACAAAACACAACTTCAAGGAAACAAGCAAATCATAGGGGAATGGACATAGTGATCAGTATGGATGAATGTTCAACTTAAGTAATCAAGGAAATACAAACTACACTAATGAGATCTCACTTGTTTAACAACTAGCCTCGAAAAGAAAGCCGGGAAGAGCCTCCTGCTGATGGGAGTGTGGTAACTCTACTAATACACATAGGAATATTTTTAAAAATATGAAGATACTCCAAAAGAATGATTACCTCTGGGTGTAAGATTAAAGGTGTTGGATTTTCTCAAATGTTCATCTCTATTTCTCAAATTCTTACCAAAAAATGTTTCTATAATCAGAAAAGTATTAAATATTTTAGCAAATCTTCTTGAGAAAGAATTTTTGCTCTTCAACACAGAATTTGAACATTGGGAAGGCAATTTCAGGTAAACAGTCTCTCTTCTAAATTACAGAAGTTAAAAGAAAAAAATTTTGGGGAGATCAACCAGTTTATTTCCATCTAGAGACTTTCCTGATTCCTGAAAGCAGTTAAGACATGTATTTCAGAAATATATATTCTGAAAAGTAATGACATCCAAATGGATGTCATACTTACTTGTTCATTAGCCTCAGAAAATAGTATTTCCACTTCATCCAAAACCAGGTGACAGAGTCTAAGAAATAACAAACTCTGGTATTCAAGAAGCCTCAGGAGGCTATGTGGTGTTGTGACTATCACATCACCTACATTTTAAAAGAAAAAGCAATGAAAACTTTAGATTTTCCAAAGGATTTCCAACACCTCCTTTGCTGAGGTATCTTATACTTTTTAGAAGCTGTTTATTCTGCTGGGTGAGGAAACCCCTACCCCTACCCTCCACCCCCAAGCATCTGGCCCAATGCCTAGGATCTTGCCAGGCTCTGCACTCCTGGAAGGCAGGAGGGTTTTGACCAACACTGCTTGCCCAGCATCTAACAGTGAGTGGTCAGTAGATAATTGACAAATGAATCAAGTCATGTAGTTTTCTCAGTGAAATGGATGAGGGTCCAGATTGAATCTTCATCACTGATACCCATCAATAACTGACAAAGAAGGTCTGAACTAATGACAACCATCTGCAGCACCATACAAGCTGCAGCATCTGCAGCCCCAGGGTTTTGCTTCTTCTGTAGGGAAACCAAACAGCTAGAAAAGGGTGCTTACATCCCCTTGGAAGCTTCATGTTTTTGGCTTCATCTTTGTGAAGTCCAATTGTTAAGAACATAGGATGCAGAGGCCTGGAGGACACGCTGTAGTCTCCCAATAATTCAAAAGTTAACTGGGCCTTTTTCCACCCAGGGCACACGATTACTACAAGAGGCTGCAAAGACAAATTCAAATAATATTGGGCAGTAGTTAGGAATCAAACAGTATATGAGGTGTGATTAAAAACTACAGCGAGTATTTAAATTTTAAAAATTTATCACAGTAAAAGATACATTGCCCTTTGTCCTATACTTCCCGCTCGGCCCAGGGATTTAGCTCAGTGGTACCACCGCCTGCCTCACAAGCACAATGTCCCAAGTTCCAAGGTTTCAGTACCATAAAAACTTCTCCCTCATTTCAAGCATACTTATTCCATCATTCCTGCCACTTTCTGAGGCAGTTTTGAAAGTCTTTTTTCATGTCTTTATAAGATGTGATAAAAAATATGATGAATGTTGCTATAAAGTGCCATCCAACAGAAAGGCAGCCTTGTAAAAACATGGCGTGTCCCTTATCCACCAGACCTGGTACTGTGTAACCTCTGGTTCTTCCCCAAAGTCAAAATGACCATAAAAGCTAAATGTTTTAAATCAATTCAGGATATCACGGTAGCTGAGACAGTGCAATTAAAGATACACAAAGACTTCCAGAACAGCTTCAGAAAGAGGTAAGAACATGGGGTGTGTTCAAAGAAAGAAGTATTTTGAGGGGATTAATGGCAATGCATCTTTTACTGTAATACATTTTTTAAAATTTAAAAACACACCATATTTTTTTATCTCCCTTATATGTTAAACTTCTAGGACAGCACCTTGTATAGAAAAAGCACTGTTACATTTTTGCTACTGTTAAATAAGTGGAATAGTAGTTTCAGTAAGACAGATTTAGACACAATGAACTAGGTTTCTCTAAGACTTAAACTAAGTACCTTACAAGTATTAATTTAGTTTATTAAACACTCTTATAGGGTAGGGCTCATTTCACAGATGAGGAAAAGTCTGAGACCTAGAGAGGTGAAATCAGTTGCCCAGGGAGGTAGAGCTACCACATGGTGACAAAAGGATTTGAATCCAAGTCTAGATTTCCCATTCCTAGGCATGACGATTAACTCACTGCCTCCCAAAGGGGGCCTTTAAAAGGGCTAATATCTCTTTTCTTTAGGAAATTACCTTCTAAACCCTGCCATCCAATAGTTTTCTGCTACTGGATTCTCCTGCATGAGCAATGCATGCCAGACACCTTCCTGAACACATGCTTGCTGTTAACTAAACATAAGCCAACTCAGGCCTTTGGGCTTGAGACAGGCAGCAGCACCACTAAGCTTAATTCCTGGCCCAAGCCTAATCTCTTCTTTCCTTCTGGAAGATCCAGGTGAGTGCCAGCTGCCAAGCACAAGCCCGAAAGCATGCTGACCATGGACGAATGGAGTCAGTCAGGGAGACATGACGGGCAAGGCCTGGCATCCTTCTCTGTGCCCAGGCAGGGTTCTACCTCAACATAAGTCACATCTCATCAGTAGGGCTCACCTGATACTTTAAGGAGTACAGGTGTATTCATTTAATTTGATTAAACCAAAACATAGCAACTAGAGTAAATTCCAAAAGGAATTATCAAAGGTGAAGCATAATCAGAAAAATGATCTTTTCTAACTCCAACTCTAAGCATATTTTCCTACAGCTGTGTTTCTCCTGTGACATAATGCAGGGTGGAACCATGTGTAGCGCATCCTTTGTGCCAGGAGCTGGGAGGGAGGTTTTCTATTAGTTCTCCTAAGAGCCAAAGAATCTGGTCCTCATTAGTCATTTCCCTCTTTTCCATTATCTTGTTATTTTCAGATTCTTACACATGAAGAAAGTAGGATAATGAGACACCGTGGTACTACAATGTAATTTAAAGAATATGCAACAAAGACAACCAAAACTGAGCTTCTAATCCCACCTCTACCTCTTATCAGTTGTTAAGAATTCATCCCAATTGGGCTAGGGATTTAGCTCAGTGGTTCCCCAAGCACAAGATCCTGAGTTTGATCCACGGTAACAAAAAAAAGAATTCATCTCAATAGATTCTTATGAGCTGAATTTTCTATTGCTTAAAATGCTGAGAATACATACCTTTCTCACATGGTTACCATGACATTTACAGTATTAAGGGCAGTGAGATTTTTATAAACTCTATATTAATCTCTAAAAACCAGAACTCTTCTACCCAGCCAATTGTCCACAAGTGGGGCTCAGGGTAAAGACTGCTGACCAGGAGAAGAGAAAGGCTAACACTCTCACAGGACAGCTTTTGTCCCAGCAGTCTGGAAAACAAACTGAATAATGTAACCTAAATTTACCAAAGCTTAGGTGTACAATTTTAAAATATAAGTACTCAGTCCATTTTGCTGTGAAATAAAACTGTCAACTTACACCGTTTCTACTTGGTAATGACTTGTAGCAACCTCCCACTTGCAACATGGTAAGCAACGGTGGGAGGTACAACAAAGGGTCCTTTCCACAGTGAGAAATGACAACCACATCACAGCCACGTGCTATAGGGGGCCAAGAGTAAGATTCAGTACGGCTGGGTCCCAGGAACTTCTTTCGCTGAAGAGCCTAACAACAACAACAACAACAACAAAAATCAACCAAAAGCACAAGAAAGTAGAGATGACAAAAACTCTACTCACTGTTCCCTTTACTACAACTACCAGTATATAGCAGCCGGGTGCCAAGACCAAACTTGGTTAAGTCCCCAGAAATCTTTACTCCATACCAAGCTACTATTTTAAGACTTTTTCTGGGCCCCAGAATAAAAGGATCCAATAAGTAGTCCACTGATCAGATAATTAAAGCTCACAACAACAAAACCATAGTTTCTTCTCCTTACTCTCCTAGTAGTCTCCCAGTCCAACAAAAGCCTCACTTGTAAAGCTTTGTTAAAAACATATTTTCATTTGCTTGTGTTTCTGTTACTATCACTAAAACCCAACAGATCTCTTCAACTACATTGATTATTTCACAAAAGGCTGAACTCATCAGCACCACTGTCTCTGTGACATCCTCGTCCACAGAATCCTGAACTCCAGCTGGAATGGAACAGCTTATTCTCTGCTATTGACCCAGTAGCTTCCTTGGTCTGCATCCCTTATAGTCTTCTTTCTTGGTATTGTTTTGTAGGGGACATACTCCTATAGCTTCTCGATAAAGAGCATAAGGGAGGTCCTTTGAGACCCTGCATATATAAAAATACTTTTGTTACACTCTCACACCTCATTGGTACTGAGTCTGGACCTGAAGGCTGAAATAACTTCTCATCAAGAGGGCTAAAATCCATGATGTTCAGACGCTTCTGTGAAGAAGTCTGACACCATACTGACTTCTAGACTCATGTGTGAGACTGTCTTTTCCTCCAGAAGCTTTCATGGTCTCATTAAGCCCCAAGATTACTTTATTTACATTCATGTATCTAATATCTGTTCATCAGCTGTGCTGTCTACAGGTACAACCTCTGAAGGGAAAAACTTGTCCATTAGGTTCAGAAAATGTTTGTGTGATACTCCTTGGAGAACTATCTACCATTTCTCGTCTTTCTAAAAATTCCATTTTCTGGTATTGAATCTCAAATGGAGCCTCTAATTCATTTTTCCTCCTCTTTCCATGTCTTTGCTTTTTCTATTTTCTGTGAACTATTTTATATCTCAAACCTTTCATTTATTGTTTTAAAATTTCTGTATTTTGAGTTTCTTTTACTTTCTTTTCTTTATAGTACCACCTTGTAATTGTTATCATTAAAGGAATGCAGTACCTTTTCTTATCACTGAGGTTTTTGAGGGCAATACTAGTGATTGAACCCAGAGTCTTCACACTGAGCTATATCCATGGTCCTTTTCTTTTCTTTTTGGTACTGGGGACTGAACTCGGGACCTTGTGCTTGTGAAACAGGTGGCAGCACTACAAACTAAATCTCTGGCCGTCCTTTTCATTTTGTAAGACAGATTCTTGCTATGTCACTAAATTGCCCAAGGTAGGCTTAAATTTGCAATCTTCCTGCCTCAGCCTCCCAAGTATCTGGGCCTCCCAAGTATCTGGGTCTATAGGCACACACCACTCACTGTACCTGGCAATACTTATTTTCTAACATTTTCTTCTACTTTTGTATTGTTGCTTTCTAAGTTTATTCTGGTCTTTTTTTCTTTTAATGTGAAGTCTTTCTTCAAATGTCTATGATTCCTTATGTTCATTCATATTAAAGGGAAAAATACTAAAATCTGACTGCAAACTCTGTAGATAGGTAAACCCTGCAAATGCATAAATGTCACATCACTTCAGGAAGACAGGGCAGTGAGCAAGTACTTTTACTGGGAGAATTTTAAACCGTATCTGTATTAGTCAGCTTTTTGTCACCATAACCAAATTTCTGAGAAAACCATTTAAAAGAGAAAAGATCCACTGGCCAGGGATTTAGCTCAGTGGTTCTACTGCTTGCCTCGGAAGCACAAGGTCCAGAGTTTGACTCCCAGTATCCCCCCCAAAGTGGGGGGCAGAGAAAGATTCATTTTATCTCACAGTTTCAGAGGTTTCAGTCCATGATGAGCTGTTTCAACCACTGAGATGAGGCAGAACATTATGGTGAAAGGCCACAGTGCAGCAAAGCTGCTCTTCTCATTGCAGCCAGGCAGGAGACAAAAATGGAAAGAGCCAAAGAGGAAGGGGCTGGGAATCAGGACTGGTCCCTAAGGTCATGCCTCAATGATTTACTGCCCTCAACAAGGCCCTAAATCCTATTTCCAACACCTCCTAACAATGCCATCAAACAAATTTTGGCTTCACTGACAAAGTTGGAGCCCAATCACCTCTTTAGGGCCCACTCCTGAGCACTGCTGCACAGGGCATGAAGACTTCAATACAGCATCTTTGGGGGATATTTCATAATTAAACCATAAACAGCATCATTCAAGGTTGATCCTCTAGTGCCACCAATTTTTCCAGAAAGATCATCCAATCATCTTCTGTACAGCATGTAGAACAATACAATGACTGTTGTGTTCCATATTATAGAAATGTTCCAGGCTTGTAGAAATCGCTTGTCCCTGAAGACTTCTCTTATTTTGTTCATACTTGTGGTTTTTATTTTTCTATCTTTAAAAAACAGTTTTAACCTTTTTCTAATCAGGAAGGAAACAGATAAGCAAGTACGATCAATTTACCAAGTAAAACCACAGATCTATGAAGCAATTCTGCAAAGAATGGCTAAGAATTATCTTACAGTTGCTCTGGCAACTTGTTGCTTCTTCTAAGGCCCCTTTTCAAAGGCATATTTGAAAATTTATTTCAGAAGAGGATTTACAATTATGCAACAGTCTCTCCATAGAAGAATTATGTATTTAAGCAAAGAAGCTATACACAACCTTAGAACTGTTTATTAAAAAAATCTATGGCCTGAAGGTGTGGTTCAGTGGTAGAACACTTGCCTAATATGCACAAGGCCCTGGGTTCAGTCTCTAGCATGTGCGTGTATACACACACACACACACACACACACACACACACACACACACATAT